ACATGGGGTGTAAAGAACGTTCCTTTGTAGTAACGGTATTATCGAATTATTTCACTTGTACTGTGTAAGATTAACGAAATTAAATATGTTTAACAAGATAACAATAAATAGGTTAGGTTAGATTAAATCTTTTTATAAAAAAAAAAAATAAGTATAGATAACATGTAAAAAAAGGTTCGATTCTATACTGTAAAGTATAAGACATTTCGTAAATAAAAATTAAAAAACAATAATATAAATGAATTTTTATGTTAAAAATATAACCAAAATTGTTATTTATTTTTTAATTTCTAAATATCCCTAAACATCTCACCAATGATTTACCAAAAAACACCGTTCAAAGAAACCTTTTTAACGCCAGAAATAGCCTTGAAAAAACTTGATTATCAAGCACACATCATGCTCAACGAACGAAAATCCAAAAATGGATTTTAGAAAGGGTTTATTCGCTGAGTCGTGGCTCACAGCTGTCGAGGCTGAAAAGAGACGAGGCGCTGAAGCGTCAAGGTCGATATTCGATCAAGCCCTCTGCTTTTCCATCCGATAATCGCAATCGAAATTCGAACGCGCCACTCGACGGAACGACCCGCTATCTGAATAGAACTTTGTCGACCGTTCTTCCGCGTGAACCGATCGTCTTCCGTCCTCCCGTCATTTCCTTTTATCACATCTTCGCAATCGCGAACACCAATGAAAAAATAAAACTTTCTGTAACGCGTCGACGCTACCGCCCTCTGTTCAGTGACTTAATCAGTGATTTCATCATGGCGGCGCGTACTCGCGATTGTTTACCGGTTGTCAAATGCCGCATGAGCGAAACATCATTGTCAGGAATATTTGTGAGAAAATAAAGTGACCAGATTTCATAATCTTTAATTCGGTATATCTCGTAAGTTTTAAAAGAATGAAAAAAGATCGTTTAAGATATTTAATTTATACACAGAAGTCTATTCTTGATCTTCATTCGCACAGAATAACATCTTGAACTATCTACCACCTGTTGCTAAAGATTTTATATGCGGTAAAAGTAGAAACTATTATTCAGATTTGACTATTGGCATCACATCAACGTTTTGAATAATGTTTAAAGAATTCAGGAGAAAAGATGAAAGTTCGAGATTGTTCTGGAAAAATCAGGATCGATCTTATCTGGTCACCTTATAGAAAAAGAGATTTCCCGGCAACGGCGGACCGTAACCTCCATCGAAATCGTTGATTTGATCCCTTTGATATCGTTGTCTCGAGAGCATTTCGTCTGCTCTCGTTGATCTGGTGGCTCTTACCGTTGTGGCAACCTGATCTGCTATGTGCAGCTCTTGTGAATGTTGTTAGTGTGAAAGTAGTATTCAAGTTGTGTCTTTTTCTTGGAATATGCTTCGTTTTGTTTTGTATATTTGTGTTATGAGAATTCTCTTCTGTGATTCAAGTGGACAAAATTTCATTCCTTTCGTATTTTCGTCACTTGTGCTTAACCCCTTACCTTATTCCGATGAAAATGTGGCAGAAGTTCAATTTAACCTCAGTTTCAAGTTACAAGATGAAGGATACACGGTATTCAAGCATTGAATAACTTAACAGGCGGTTTACTAAAAAAGTTTTTAAAGCAAGGGGTTAAAATGTGATGTTCGAAGTTGTTTTGTTAAACCGTTCAGTGAATTTTTTGTTCAAGTGTGTTTGTTGCAATCGTTTTTCAGCCATTTCATCTATTAGATCTCTGTAATTTATTACACATTGAATTTTCGTAAACAAAATAGTCACGTTGGTGAGTTTCGTGTTTGAGATAGAATTTTATCTTATATATATTAACGATTCAATAT